AATCACAGCCAAGGATTCTCTTTGTGTGGAATGAAATCCCAGGGTCAAATGATCAGCCCACGTGTGGGGTCCAATTTTATTACGTGTTCTTAAGTTTCGTTATTGGCTCGTTCAGACAGTCGTTACAAACTAGTGTTTGACGGTTATAGATCAGAAGACTAATTCCAAGTAATGAATATGTTTATTTGGGACACACCATAAAGCGAAGCGGAGAAGCAATGTGAATAAAACGAAGTGGAGAGGCTAACGAGCCAACTCCCAGGATTGCAGTGCGAACGAACGGGCGAGGGAAGCGAACGAATAGGCGAAGCGCGATGGAGAAGGCTAAGAGCCAACTCCCAGGATTACAAAGGGAAGCGATATGGAGAATGGCTAACGAGCCAACTCGAAGAAATAGAGCAGGCAAATATAAGACAGACATGCAACAAGCGAAATAGGCACACATGAATAAAAGCGACGAATAGTTGACAAGGTCAAATAACAAGTAGGACACATCATGTGAGCTCATACAAACCAGACAATAATAAGAACGAATGGGTACATATAAGTTGTTGCTACGCCAATGGCTTGGTTAAATAGATTAATCGAAAGGGCTTAACCAAGTTAGATGTAAGTGACTTGGAGTATATGTGTAGGCACTACACATGTTCGCAATCGTGAAATCCAAAATAAGTCATTTATCAAGCGAGTTCTGGGGACTTAACGTCCCCAACAACACCTCACCTTTCTGGCTACGGCGGTACGGTTACTTAAACAAGAACGGAGCTAACACTAAAAACTCATAAAATGGCCGTGTATGACTGGCCTCAAGCAGTTTATCCTTGAGCTGTGCGGTCACCCTCTCAGGTCTTTAAGACCAACGCTAATTCAATTTCCTTTTCTAGTTCCTCAAGAAACATCCTTCCGCGGTCTATGGGCAGCCGGGAAGAGACAGTCACCACCTTCATACTCGTAACAGCACGCGAGACCAAATTATTTACAATCGAATTCCTCCTATACCTCTTGTTTGGAACTTAACATTGATGTTTAATGCTGTAATGGATCAGGTTCTTCGGTTCATGCGCATCTTGTGCCTCGATATTGTTTTAAGGTTGCATGCATTAATTAGCAATCAGGTTAAATAGTTTTTAGCAATGGAATCCAGGATGCCTATTTGGAACTCGTCCACAGGATGTACCTGCATCTCAGTCAGAGTTGATGTCTCACTGCTGCTAGCCGTTATGCACCTTTGCTAATAATTAAACATCATCATTTTTATCTCAGGTGGCCTTACGGTTAAACTGTCATTCAGCGCCGGTGCATTTATTCTCTGTGTTCTCTCAAATCCTAATCTTCTGGATTCTTCAACACCTCTATAGTTTTGACTTTCTTAACTTATCTCACTGAATCATACTTCTTGAATAATATCTTCTAATCCTAACCTCTTCGATTACTTCTAATACCTTTACTAGCTCTTCTACTATTGGATTTGAATTGACAATTATATCTCTGTGCTGATGTGGTATGGCGACATGAACTGATGTACTTACTTACCTACGAAGTTCTACGTTGCATCTGACTGACTGACTGACAGCTCATTGATTATACTAGATTATCTAATAACAGCGTCTTGCTTTACCTTAATGTTTAATTTTCAAAGAATTCTCTAAATATAATATCTTTGTTTTAAGTAAAGCTTCCATTACATTTAAGTACAACTCGATTAACAACGATATCTATAATGTCAATCAATATACTCTACTTATCTACGAGTTGTAAATAACAAATGCTTCTCTGAGTCATTTATTGACACATAATAGTAGACAGCTATTTTCATTCAGTTCATTTAAATTCCAAATATTTTTTCAACATTTCAGACTAAGTAAGTAATCTATCTCTATTGATCATTACAATACAGACAATGGAATATCAATTGTGTTAGCTAGTTAACATGCTTCTTTCTGATTGGCTCATAGTGTCATACAAACTACCAATCGATTAGTTGTTTGTAATTTTGTCAAATCTCTCTACCATACAATAATAAATAAAAGGATAACACTATATATTAGAACATGAAGGAGACAGTCATTTTCACAAAATGGTATCTCGTATCTGTTTCGGTTCAATAGTTGTACTTGTTATATTAATTACTTTGGCATTATTGTCCTTATGCGTATTGCATCCATTTATATGGCTATTAATCAATCGGCAAACACGTCTAACACCAGGAACTACTGTGTATACCGAATGGAAAGAACCTTCAGTACCGATTTTTATGCAATTTTATTTTTTCAATTTAACTAATCCAATTGAATTTCAAGCTGGTGCAAAACCTCATGTTCAACAATTAGGACCATATACATATCATGAAAAACGTGTGAAAACACTTGATCTTTCTAAAAATACTAATGGAACTATTAATTATAAAGAAATGAAATGGTATTATTTTGATCAGAATTTATCGAATGGTACAGAAAATGATTCAATCATAAATGTAAATCTTGCTTTTATATCAGTTGCTGAAAAATTGCATTCTATGCCATGGATTATAGTGAAAGTAATTGAATGGATTGAAAAACGTTTTCATGAATATTTATTTAGACCAAAAACTGTCAATGAATTATTATGGGGTTATGAAGATGAATTATTAACATATTTATCAAGTCTTGGTATTCAAATTTCAACAAAAATTGGTTTTTTCATTCATAAAAATAATACACTGAGTGAGAATATCACCATTGATGATGGTGTTCAGCATAACAGAGCAATTGGTCAAATTTTGAAATATGCTGGAAATGAAACATTATCATATTGGACAACTGAAACAGCCAATATGATTAATGGTACTGATGGTACATTATTTCATCCATTTATCACTAAAAATGATACACCGTATATTTTCGCTTCGGATATTTGTCGTTCATTACAATTTACTTTTGATTCAATTGTTGAGTTTAATGAATTACCAACTTATAAATTTATTCCACAATCTGATATATTTAAATCATCGAAATATTATGAAAAAAATAAAGGATTTTGTTTAAATTGGCCAAATTGTTTTGAAGATGGTGTGCTGGACATGTCATCTTGTCAACCTGGTGCACCGATTGCTGTATCACAACCACATTTTTTAAATGTAAGTTTTATATTCTTCTATGAAGTGAATTTTAATTTTCAATAATTGAATAATTGTGATGGTGGTGCGCGCTACTTATAAGTAGTATATGACGCGAGTAAAAAAACGTAGTGTCTGGCAGCAGCAGAAGATTGGGGGAAAGATTAAGAAAGGAAGAGTGGGAACACAATGGAATTTGTATGAAACAAATGCATGAACAGTGAAATATCAGACAATGGATGTTTGGTGTTTTGCAACAGGAACAACAATCCAGTTCGATAATGATGGATTGATATTTTGTAAATTAACGATTTACGATATGATTTTCCTATTTTTACCAATTAACTCTGTAATTTGAGATAAATACAACCTCTAGATCACTGCGCCGGTACCCAAAGGTGTTGATGTCTAACTCTGATCAATCTATAGATTTCGCTCGACATCACTCATTTGTCTTTGGTAGTTACTGCCTACACCCAACAAGGTTGAACTCCACTGGTCACATCTTCTTACTAGTACTCTGAGAATTCGCTCACAAAGTTAGTCACTATTGAGCACATTTTATGATTTTTCAATTAGAGTTATGGAGATAGTGTTTTTTGCACATTGAAATCCTATACCAGGATGAAACGGTTCTCCAGTGCTTTCAAATTTCTAATGGTGGTCTAGTAACAATGATTGATTGATGATTCGAGACCTCAAGATATTGAGTTCTAATCTTTATCTTGTTGTAATTATTATAAGTAATAGTATTCATGATAACGATTTAATTCAATTTGAAATGGTTCGACTTATACCGTTGTCGGCAGTTTGAATGAAATTAAAACATTTGAAATCATTAATCAATCATATAGTTAGACAAGCATTAGAAACCTGGCAGCACTTGACGGCCGTTTCATCCTGGTAAGGGACTCATCAGTATTGTTGAAGTAATGAAACTTCATCAGTTGAGGTGGTTGGGACATGTGCTACGTATGCGCAACCACCGACTGCCTCGACGAGCTATATTTAGCAGTGTAGAAGTAGGCTGGAAGCAAGTTAAGGGCGGCCAGACCAAAACATGGGAGCAATCCATGAAGTCATTGACAAGTGGACTGAGTCATGTCGGTGGTAGTTGTCGACTACATGGTTGAGGTCCGCGAGATGTTAGTAATCGATAGTTAGAGACCCTGAATGACATGGCTCGAAAAAACCGTTTGCAATGGGTCAGGTGCATTCATTCTGTTGTGTTCTCTCAAATCCTAAACTTTTTAATTCCTCATCACTTAATCTTTATCTTTTAAGTTTATTTCACTAGATTTTACTTCTTGAATAATATCTTCTAATCCTAACCTCTCCGATTACTTCTAATACCTTTACTACCTCTTCTACTATTGGATTTTAATTGACAATTACATCTTTGTGCTAATGTGGTATGGCAACATGAACTGATGTACTTACATACGGAGTTCTACGTTACATCTGACTGACTGACTGTATATAATTCAACGAAAGACTTCTATAACAGTATCTAATCTAATTTATTTGAATGAATAATCTTTTATTCTATACATATATGTGATGGGTATTCGAAATGTTTACATTTCTGGTAATTGGTAACGCAACTATACGAGCTATATGTATTGTGACACTACCATGTTCTTGAAACTACAGTAAGTGTATTGTGATCTTGAAATTTTAGAAAAAAATTATTTGAAAGTTAAGGTACTGGAAGCAAAGTTTCATCATTTTAATCAGAATGTACTATTCAGTTCATTACAAATTTCATTTTCATGCAAATATATATTTTCAGTTAGAGTTTTGGAGATTTGTGTTTTTAACACATTTCAAATCATCAGTCAATCATTGTTAGACCATCATTAGAAACCTAGGAGCACTGGACGGCCGCTTCGTCCTGGTATGGGACTCATCAGCAGTGCGCGTCCACGATTCCTGCACCTCGCAAGACTCGAACTTAGGACCCTCAGTATTGTGCGCGAACGCCTAACCATCAGACCACTAGACCGGCATCCAACGGTGTTAACGTCTAACTCTGATTGATCTAGAGATTGTGCGTGACCTCACCCATTTGTCTTTGGTAGTTACTGCCTACACCCGACAGGGTTGAATTCCAGTGATTGATTGATGATGTCAAATGTGTAAATAAACACAAATCTCCAAAACTATAACTGGAAATTTAATCAGTCTTGATTGATTTATGCAGATCCTTTGTGTATTTCCTCAATATAGCCATTACAACACAAGTTGAAATAAGATATATGAATTATGATTAACAGGGGGACTTAAGATGCGCGTTTCATCCTGTTATTTTGGGGGGGGGACTCGTCAGCTGAATGTGTCCGTTGCACAACTCAGTGGACTCATTTAGACTAAGCATCCAAAAGGATGGCGTTTACAGAACAGATGGCATTGGGTTTAATTTTCTGGAATAAACATCAACTCTAAGATTACAACAAGTACATTCAGCTGACACAAGTCTCCAATAGAATGGAACGTGTGTTGATCAGTTGATTTTTTTCCAGTTGATTTATTAGTTACCTGTCTGATTCTACGAATTGATATCAGGTCATGATTTTGAAAAAATAGAAACTAACATTTTATAAATCAGTACAATACATTGATTATTATATGTACTTAGTCTATCATTAAATGGACGGAATAAATTGTTTGTTGCCAAAAACAATTGTCTACAACTAACTATGTGTACACTTCATTTCAATCGATATTAATGTTTATTTAATTAAAACACGGAAAATAAGCAACATTTATTTCAAAATGACATTTTTTTTTCAAGAAAACATACGATTTTTTTTAAAAGAAAGTTGGATTGAATAATTTTATGCCATGAATTGATTCTTTTGCTTCTCAGTTAAATTTGACTATGTCTAATCTTGTGTTCTAGTGCCATTGATACAATTTATTACTTCTACTACTTTGATTATAGAGGATTTTTTTCTCGCTCGTCTGGTATTACTTAATTCCTTCAGTCAGTCAGATCCGACGTCGAACTTCGTGCGTAAGTACATTAGTTCATGTTGCCATACCATATTAGCACAGAGATGTAATTGTCAATTCAAATTCCAAAATAGTAGTAGAGGTAGTAAAGGTATTAGCAGTAATTGGAGAGGTTAGGATTAGAAAATATTATTCAAGAAGTATAATTCAATGAGATAAATTTAGAAAGTCAAAATGCCAGGATTTCTGGATTTCTGCCATGTTTTGGTTTTGCCGCCCCTAACTTTCTTCCAACCTATTCCTACACTACAAAATAAAGTTCGTCGCGGCAGTCGGTGGTTAGGCATACGCAACACATGTCCCAACCACCTCAACTGATGAAGTTTCATTATTTCATCTATTGATCTGCCATTCCTACCTAGCACCCATTTCCTAATAACAGCGTTGCTCACTCGGGTGTCCCACGATATATGAGCAATGCTTCGGAGTCACAGATGATCGAAAACCAGTAACCTACGAATATCTTCTACTCTCACTGGCCATGTTTCACAGCCTTAAAGTAAGACGGAGCGAACTACTGCGCAGTGCACTCGTCCTTTAGTCAGCGAACGGATATCTCGCCTACGCCATAAGTGACGCAGGTTGGCAAAAGCCAATCGAGCCTTCTGTATCCGTGCTGAGATTTCGTCAGTCACCAGGCCATCGGCACTGATGAGACTCCCCAGATAAGTGAAGCGGTCTACACGTTCGACTACTTCACCCCCTACCACTAGTTCAGGTGCCGATGAAACTCAGTCTTGAAGCGACATTTTTCATTTCGAGGGGGAACATGCTTGCATTGTTGCTTAGGGTAATCAGAAGACTTAATTCTTTACTCTACTGAAGCATGTACTGCCGACCGGCATTCTCAAACCTACTCTGTCCTGAACCGTCTTTTGTAGTTCAATCCAATAGTTGTGTTCTTTAGTCTTCCTGTTTTCCTCTACCTTTGTCTTTCTAAACTTATCTCACTGAATTTTACTTCTTCAATAATATCTTGGAACCCTAATCCTCTCCTTTACCAGTAGTACTTCACCATCGCTACCACTATGGGATTTGAATTGACAATTACACCTCTGCGCTGATGTGGTATGGCAACATTAACTGATGTACTTACGTACGAAGTTCTACGTCACATCTGACTGACTGACTGACAATGAAAAAATTCTTTTACTCAAATCATTTTAGTTTATAATACAACAGTGTCAAAACCGGTAGCCATCCTATGACCAGAATAAGTTTAGGATGAGAACTAAACTATTTTATGATAAATTGAAGGGGATTTCAATCAAGGCTAGAGGAAAGTGTAATCGTAGTTTTGCAAATTAGGATGGTTCATTCTTTTACCAAAATATAGGCACAAATACAAGCTAAACCAATTGATCCAATGCGAGTAGAAGATGATCAACACACTTATCGTCTTCTATTGGTGAAAACCCATGTAATAAAACAGGTCATAAGATTAATTTGTATTTGTATTAGTCATCATATTGATTTCAACTTGACCTTTGTATAATATTTTGTGACCATTGTGATCATTGTTCAATCATTATTGATTTTGTTTTTATTATGAGTGATAGTAATTCCATATGAACTTTATTTTATAATGTGTTAGCATGTACAACATGTGTATTATTAACTCATTACGGGGTTGTGAAGATTGTTAAGTTACACATTTTTGAAACCATGAATCGATCAATGTTAGACCACCATTAGAAACCTGGAAGCACTGGACGGCCGTTTCGACTAACACCGTTAGATACCGGCTCAGTGGTCTATCGGTTAGGGCGTTCGCCTACAGTACCGAAGGTCCTGGGTCTGAATCCTGCGGGGTGCAGGTGTCGTGGATGCGCACTGCTGAGGAGTCCCATACCAGGACGAAACGGCCATCCAGTGCTTCCAGGTTTCTAATGGTGGTCTAACATTGATCGATTCATGGTTTCAAAAATATTATTAACTCAAACAAACTCATATAACAACAGTACAATTAATAATTATGTTTGATTTTGTATGTTGGAAACAAAACTAAGTTAACAATTTGAAATCATCAATCAATCATTGTTAGACCACCATTAGAAACCTGAGAGCACTGGACGGCCGTTTCGTCCTGGTATGGGACTTATCAGTGGCAGTGCGTATACACGACTCCTGCACCTCGCAGGATTCGAAACCAGGACCTTCGGTCTTGCGCGCGAACGCTTAACCTCTGGATCACTCCGCCGGTACCCAAAGGTGTTAATGTCTAACTCTGATTGGTCTAGGGATTTTGCGCGACCTCACCCATTTGTCTTTGGTAGTTACTGCCTACACCCGACAGGGTTGAACTCCATTGGTCACGTCTTCTCAACTAGAACTGCGAGAATTTCCTCACGAATCTAGTCACTAGTGAGCACTGTTACGATATTTTGGGGCAGAGTTTTGGAGGTTTGCGTTTTTACACATTTGAAATCATCAATCAATGATTGTTAGACCACCATTAGAAACCTGGAAGCACTGGACGGCTGTTTCGTCCTGGTATGGGACTCCTCATCAGTGCACATCGTGGATGCGCACAAATAAGTTAACAATATCAATGAACAGATTGATACATTTGTTAAACAATAGGAACTATTATCAGAGATCAATCAATCAATCGCAACGTAGAACTTCGTACTTACGTATCTCAGTCCATGTTTCCATACCACGTCAGTACAGCGATGTAATTGTCAATTTAAATCCAATATTAGTAGACGTAATTGGCAGTAGTCGAAGAGGTTAGGATTAGACAATATTATTCAGGAAGTAGAATTTAGTGAAATAGACTTAAAAACATAAAGATAAAGTGATGAAGAATTAAAAAAGTTTAGAATTTGAGAGAACACAAAGAATGAATGCACCTGAGCCATTGCAAACGGTTTTTTCGAGCCATGTCATTCAATGTCTCTAACCATCGATTATTATCATCTCGCAGACTCAAACTAGGTAGTCATAGATCTAACAGTCATAAATCTAACAGTAGAATGCAGGATACGTGTTTCATCCTATTTGTAACTCATCAGCTAGATGTTCACTTCATGACTCATGGATTTTACTATTAAGAACAGTATATCTCTCCTTATTACTCCTGTGAATTAATGGTTATACCGAAGTAATCCTCACAGGATAGTGACTGCTCAATTACAGTCCTATCAATGAAAACATTCAAACAACCAATATAAATGAGAACGAGTATTGAAAACTGTCTATTATTGCTAATGTAAGTGTAATCTGAAATTAATAGGAAAATATTCTTTGTGGATTTTCATCTATGTGTAGATGAAGTGATGCTGTAGATGGAGAGATTGTTAATTTACTTAGAAATCATGAATCGATCAATGTTAGACTGGCATTAGAAACCTGGAAGCACTGGACGGCTGTACTGTCCTGGCAGTAAACGTCCATGACTCTGGCTACCCTCAGCAATCGAACCAAGGACCTTTAATCTTGTGCCTGAACGCCGTACTTCTGGACTATTTAGCCGGCATCCAATGACGGTAATGTCTAACTTCGATCAATCAACGGTCGTGCGCAACCTCATCCACTGTCTTCTGTGAGCATTGCTTTACACCCAAACAGGGTTGGACTTCGTTGGTCAAGACTTCTCACTAGAACTCAGAGAAACTTCCTCATGAAGCTAGTTATTAATAAGAGCATCCGGTGGAGGCGCATGTGCTCACTAGTGACTAGCTTCGTGAGGTTCTCGGAGTTCTAGTGAGAAGAAATGACTACTGGAGTTGAACCTTGTCGGGTGTAGGTAGTAAATACAGAAGTCAATGAGTGAGGTTGTTCAAAATCGTTAGATTGATCAGAGTTATACATTAATACCGTTGAGTACCAACTCAGTGTTCCAGAAGTTAGGCGTCTGCTCACAAGGCTGAAGGTCCTGGTTTCGAACCCTGTGAGTAGCAGGAGTCGTGGATGAGCACTGTTGATGAGTCCTATACCAAGAAGAAACGGCTGCCTAGTGCTTCCAGGTTTCCAATGGTAGTCTAACATTGATCGATTCATAATTTCAAGATAAAACTACCATCTCCATAATACCTTAATGCAAGATTGTTAATTTGATGAAAACAATGATGCATTTTAATGTTATGTCATTCTTGTTGAGATGATTTTGCATGAGACCTACTGGTGCGTTTATGTTATTTGGTGTCCAAAATGTGATAGTTTTAATTCGAAAGAGTAGAACATCAAATGCATGTTTATTAGTTCGATGAGGTGTTTGCGTCAACGCCTGAATCAATGATGAGGTGTAAATTAATTGAATGTATTGACCACTTTACTTATTTTGGAAGTCTTATCAACTTTAGTATGTTTGCATCCGATGAATTGTCAATATTCAGATTGCTCGATCGGTTTTCATCAACCTCCATCACTTGTGGAATAGATTAGATATCTACTTCATTTCTGGAAAACGCAATCTTTAAAAGAAAAAGGAAAGTCGTAGGTTACTTTCATTCGATTTTGGATGCCTTCAAAATATCACTCATGTATTTCGGGGTTATCAAGTTAACGGTTATAGGCGGTTAGATACAGAACACTGGATATGAATGACAGATAGATCGATGATATGGTTAATTTTCATCAGCTGAAAAGATTAGAACATGAATTAATTATCTCCACCTACCTGTTATCTCACTGAGTGTTTATAGCTGGCATAGGCTTAGGTTGGAGAAACTGAAAATAAGTATCAGTCAATGAAGGCTATTGGACCGAATTATACAGGTAAGTAAAAAGCTGCCTGACTGGGATTCATGTGATTGTAGTAACCAGTAGTCCGAGACTTTTGGTGACGAGGCTCAAAATCCTTTACAATCTTTTACCTTATATCCAAAATTTCTAAAATTCCTTAAAATTTTAGTCACACGTTCTATACCTGATCTCTTCTATTGTCTGAACTACTCTAAGATTCCTCCTGATAAATACATCTTGCTGTTCTGAGTAGAGTATAGAAAATTGATCCATTGTATAGATGTGCAGAAGTTCTATTTTGCTAATATCTAACCGACTGTAAGATGTGGACAGAATTATATATTTGGTTGAATTGACATGCATATGTCACTTTTCAGTTTGTTGGTTAATCACTTAAAATTCCAGTACATTAACATTAACAAAGTTACCTAGTTAGTAGAATCCATGCGACAATCGCAGTTAATTATTGGAGACGTTGGTTGATACGGTTCAGAATTGGTCAAAATGCCCCCTCACATTCTATTTTCTTATAGATTTCGTCATGTATACCTTTTTAATCTGTTTTTTTCGAACCACATTCTAAATGTCCGTTTTTTCTCATTATCATTTTTCATGAAAATGTATCAGTTATGTAATTTATTACAATTGTCTTCAATTGAAATGATTTGAAAACCAACAAACTGCGAAGTCAAAGATCACGACAGAGGAAGATACATTCGGATTGTAGGTAGAGATAGCTTAATGTATCATACCTAATCTAGATAATGGTTTTCAGAAGGGCTTTAGAGAGCATACTGAAATGCAATCTAGGTACGGATGCTTGACCGAAGTATTCAGTAAACCTCCTGATATAGTCAGATTCAATATCTTATAAGACACACACTGTGAAAAGCACCGAACTGTGTCACAAGACAAGCCCTCAGTTTGAACTCTCAAAGTCAAACGAAAAGAGGAAGGCCAAGGAACACAATACGCTGAGAAATAGAGAAAGACATGAGAAGAATGAACAAAGACTGGAAAGAACTAGAAAGGGATGCTCAGGACAGAGTTGGTTGGAGAAAACTAGTGGGCGGCCTATGCTCCTCCATTGGGAGTAACAGGCGTAAGTAAGTAAGTACTAAGTAAGTACCATATTTTCATTGTTTTACAATTATTCCGGCTGATTTCATCTTTTCATGTCATTGTCTCATAGAGACCTACTGCATTACACATTTGTACCAGGCTGTATGTTGACTTATGCAGTTATTTCTCAGCATGTCAATACCACGTTAACTTTCTTTTTCAGTTTGACATATATTTATATATGCATGCTTAGAACACAAGTTTTATTGTTTCGATTATTTAACAGGCTAATAAAACATATCAAAATGCTATTGAAGGATTGTATCCAACGGATGAATTCAACACAGTGATCTATTTAGAACCAAACACTGGAAGTATCATTAAAGCGGAGAAAAAACTTCAAATTAATATTTTAGTAAAAAATAATCCCAATTTTAAACAACTTAAAAATATCTCAACTACACTTTTACCAATTATGTTTATTAATGAATCGGTTCAATTGAATGAAACATTGATTGATCAATTGGTGAATGCATTAATTCAAGGACCATTTATTGCAAAAACCATTTTAATTTGTTTTATTTCATTGACACTAATTATTCTATGTTCAATTATTTCGGTACATTTTTATCATAATCAAAGAATTTCCACTTCTTCTTATACACCATTTGTCAATGATAATCAACAATCTGATGAACACATTGATGCTCCTTATCAAACTATTGAACATATTGAATCAGAGGAACAAACAACACCGAATGTAGATTATCAACAAAACCCGATAGTTTGATTTTAATTTTTTGAATTGGATCAAACTACAAGATAATTAATATTCAATGTCCATTATCACAATGTCTCATAATCTACATTTTATTATTATTCGACGCTTTTGTTAATCATAAAATCATTTAGAGTAAGATAATCAGTCAGTCAGTCAGTCAGTAAAAAAAGGAACAGTTTTATTTTCATATTATTGTCATTTCCCATTTACTGGTATTTTTTTTTCTACTGGTTTTTTTTGTTCATTGATTAACTCCGTTTGAATTGATTATAAATAAGATTGAATTTTGAACAGAATCATTTCTTATTTGTGAAATTTGTAAAAGACGACAGTAAACAAATGGCTAGGTCAGAAAGAGGTGTACATTTTACCCGATGAATCGAAAATTACCCCCCACTAAAGACCTTCATGTTTATTTGTGTGAGATTAAACTATTCTGTGGTTTTCTATGACAGAATATTTTGTCTTAAGCTCAACATCCAGGTTTCTACTCTGCTGACGGAAAATGAATAAATAGACTCGTTATTGGAAGGAGTCGACTATGTACCACCTACTCAAGGTTTCAGTTTATATGTTACTTTCTGAGTCAAAAGATCAGTTGTGTGTACAGTAAGTACATTTAGGTTCAAAAATTGTACTTACTTACTCATCTGTTTAGTGCTCTTAGGCATAATGTTGGATTGCTTAAGGCAGTTGTTTCGTGATAAATGTGAATATTGTGTGTTGCATTTCTCTCCTGGCGGTTGATTGGATTATGAAGACGTCACCATTTGAGGAGAAACACGGAATGCAGCAGACAGCTTGGATGCAGTTGGACAAATCATCTAGTTCCTTTATCCTACACACAACAAAAAATGCAAGAGAAGATGACCAGTGTAGTAGCAGCAGAAGCCTCTACATCAGTAGATCTCAGAATACACAAAGTAAAAAGAAAAATCCTTTAACCCAGTATAATGTGCACCGAAAAAATCACACTTCATGGAGAAATTCTGAAAGTTGTAGAAACCTTTCCATATCTGGGTTGTATCATTTATAAACAAGTTAAGTCTGATGCAGATGTGAAGGCACGAATCAGCAAATTAAGGGTAACATTCCTATATATATGAAGTACAGCTGGAAGTCATAACAACTGTCCACCAACATCAAAGTCACAATTTTCAATTCAATATGAATGTCAAGACAGTTCTATTGTATGGGGCAGAAACTTGGAGAACCACGAAAACCATCATCTGGGAGATAGAAGTGTTTAATAACAGTTGTCTACGCAAGACAATAAAGATCCGTCGGTTACAGACCATCAGAAACAAACTATTGTGCGAAAGAACATACTAGACTCTAGGTGAGGAATAAACTAGGGAAAAGCGTTCAAGGTGGATATGACACACTGAGTAAAGCGACCAACTGCGTGACAAGACAGGCTCTCACTTGGAATCGTCAAGGTGAACAGAAGAGAGACAGACCAAAGAACACAATACTCTGAGAATTGGAAGCAGATATCAAAAGAATGTACAGAAATTGGATAGAAGTGGAAAGAAAGTCTCAGGACAGAGTAGAGTGGAGAATGATGGTTTATGGATTATGCTTCATTGAGGGTGACAGGCTTGAGCGAGTCATCAAATAAAAGTAATAATCAAGACTAATGTGTGTTGTATTTCGTTAATCCAATTTTGAAAATCACACTTTGTGTTCATAATTTCTATTGTTTTGTACATGGCTTGAAGTAAATTTCTGTTCTGATTTAGATTATTTAACCGTGGAGCATCCATTGTTCTTCTGAGTGACATCACGAGCACAACTTTCACGTTAAAGTGCCATGGTTTTTCTGACTGGTTGATAAATTGAATCGATTTCAATGTGTTTGTTGATTAATGATTGACCCGTTTTCCAGCTCCTTACTTTCGATGATAATGAGTGTTTGAAATCATCAATCAATCGTTGTTAGACCACCATTAGAAACTTGGAAGAACTTGACGGCCGTTTCGTCTTGGTATGGGACTCATCAGCAGTGAGCATCCACGAATCCTGCTCCTCGCAGGATTCGAACCCGGGTCCTTCCATTACATGCGCGAACGCCTTTCGTTTGTTTGATAATTGTATTTCCGAGTTGAAAATATATTGTTAATCATAAAGCGATGAGTTCTGGTAGACAATAACTTTGAAGCTTCTTGTATTTTGGAAAATTCTTGTTGTCGATGTGGAGGACAACCTGTCCGTCATATGTCGATAAATTTGACTTCTTCACTTCTACCTGAAGTTTGTGCTGATGAATTTTATTGATCAGAAGACCATTGAAAGCTTCACGACCAAATCATTCAGAATTAAACTTCACCAAACTCAAACACCTTAGTTACAGATCTTCACCATGACTACAGATTCCTACCTTAGTTAAACTGTTATGGCTCCTCATGTACCTTTGAGTTTGTTTACGTCTACTTTAGTTAAGCCCTTTTATTAACTTGTTCTAGTGTCAAAGTCATTCACATAAAAGCAAAAACTTGTCTGTACCATTGTGCTTGTATGAACATGTTTGCTTGAGCATTGCTTACCGTCTACATGCATATTCTTTCTACTAGCTTTGATGTTAGTCGCTTAAATAATTCGATGACTCATGCATTTTTCTATGTATATATATGCACATTTTAATCCTATACACCGGCGTACTCACTAACTCTCTCGCTTGCTCTTCGGCACTGTCATATCATGGTGAGCCCACATCCGCCACAGTGTAAAAACCTCAGTATGCTTTGTACAGATGAACACAAGTAATGCTGTAACAAAGTCCAACAGACATTAATCTATCGATTATCTCCATTCTGAATATATTATAATCCTGATAGTTTCTATAATACAATAGAATATACAGATTTAAGTAAAATGATTAGATTTTTGTTAGATTTTGGGGAGCAAATTCAGATAATCAAACGTCACACGTTCAAGGTAATCGCAGTACGTTTGGACACATGCTCAATTTTTATAAAGGTCTTACTTTTATACTGTGTAATGCTCAAAAGGCTCGGGAATAATTGTTGAACAATCACCTTAAGCGATCTCAAGGTAGTTATCGAATGTTCTAAGTCAGTCACATGTTCAGAAATTGCTCAACTACAAACTTATTTTTGAAGGCTTAGTATTTTTGCGATATGTCTGTATCCAGTTCCCTGCGCCTTTTATTCTTTCGTCTGCCTCCTTTCTTCTTTCCTTGAAGTCTTCAGGGTAGGTCCTGATTTGTGATTCAGTTAGATGATTTCCCTAATGTGCATCCTATCCACCTCTGGCGTTTTTTTTAGAGAGTTCTTCCTTAGCTGGAAGCTGGGTTGATCTCTCTTCACAAATATAAATCGATCAATGTTAGACCACTATTAGAAGCCTGGAAGCACTGGACGGCCATTTCGTCCTGATACGGGACTCTTCAGCAGTGCACATCCACGACTCCTGCACCCCGCAGGATTGAAACCCAAGACCTTCGGTCTTGTACATGAACGCCTAACCTTTGAACCACTTAGCCGGTATCTAGCGGTGTTAATGTCTAACTTGGTCGATTCACGGAGTCGCGCAACCTCATACACTGTCTTCGGTAGTTACTGTCTACACCTGAACAGGTTGAGCTCCACTGGTCATGACTTTTCACTAGAACTCGGAGAAGATTCCTCACAAAGCTAGTCACTAGTGATCACAAGTAATTAATTGCATTACAGGGTTGTGAAGATTGTTAAGGTACATACACATTTTGAAATCATGAATCGATCGATCAATGCTGATGAGTAGCCCCTATACCAGGACAAAACGGCCACCTTTCATTACGCCCAGGTTTCTTCTAATGGTGGTCTAACTAACGCTAATCGATTCATGGTTTTAAATAAATTGTACCAAATGATTTTTCTGTTTATATATACTATATAAATCCTACTTCAGTTTTAGATTAAAGTTCAACAAACTGGCTTTATTTCATCATAGTACGTGAGGTAGTGATCTTGTTACATCTCACATATAAAAAGCTGACGATATGAATATAGGTTAAATAATAAATAATATTTTTAAAATCGTATAAAAATATATTGAAAAGTTATTCATGACAGACAGATAAAAGAATTCAACAAAGTTTACGTTTTGTAATATGTAAGAATACAAATATCTATATCAAAAATTTAAAGTTTATTTTATAGATCTTTTTTCTGCTTTTCAATATTGATATTCTTTTTTAGTTTTGTTAAAAACTACTAAATATATAATTGAGTTTTTACAAATTTAAATTGTCGAAACAGAGAATTTCGTTGGTATGTTGAATGATAAATATAGGATTAATTCTTTAGATCATGACCTTGAATTTAAAATTAATTAGGAAGAAATCAATTATATGTGTAATTGAACAGTTTATTAACTATTGATATGTGTCGAGCCTGTTGATCGCTTCACTTATCTGGGGAGTCTCATCAGCGCTGATAGCCTGGTGACTGACGAAATCTCAGCTCGGATACAGAAGGCTCGACTGGCTTTCGCCAGCCTGCGTCACTTATGGCGAAGGCGAGATATCCGTTTGCTGACTAAAGGACGAGTGTACTGAGCAGTGGTTCGCTCCGTCTTACTTTATGGCTGTGAAACATGGCCAGTAAGAGTAGAAGATATTCGTAGGTTATTGGTTTTCGATCATAAGTGTCTTCGAAGCATTGCTCGTATATCGTGGGACAACCGAGTGAGCAACTCTGTTATTAGGAATCGGGTGCTGGGTGAGAATGGCAGATCAGTAGATGAAGTGGTGAAACTTCATCAGTTGAGGTGGTTGGGACATGAGTTACGTATGCGTAACCACCGACTGCCTTAACGAGCTATGTTTTGTAGTGTAGGAGTAGGTTGGAAGAAAGCTAGTGGCGGCCAGACCAAAACATGGCAGAAATGCATGAAGTCACTGACAAGTGGACTGAGTCATGTTGGTAGATGTAGACTACCTGGTTGGAGTCCGCGAGATTAATGTCACCAATGGTTAGAGACCTTGAATGACATAGCTCAAAATC